AATTGTCTGTCTCTGTCTATAATTGCCTGTCTCTGTTGCTCCTATTACTGCCTGTCTCTGTTGCTCCTATTACTGCCTGTCTCTGCTGCTCCTATAGCTGTCTGTCTCTGTTGCTCCTATTACGCCTGTCTCTGTTGCTCCTATTACTGCCTGTCTCTGCTGCTCCTATAGCTGTCTGTCTCTGTTGCTCCTATTACTGCCTGTCTCTGTTGCTCCTATTGCTGTTTGTCTCTGCTGCTCCTATAATTGCCTGTTTCTGCTGCTCCTATAACTGCCTGTTTCTGCTGCTCCTTTTGCTGCCTGTTTCTGCTGCTCCTATAGCTGCCTGTTTCTGCTGCTCCTATAGCTGTTTGTCTCTGCTGCTTCTATAGCTGTTTGTCTCTGCTGCTCCTATTGCTGTTTGTCTCTGCTGCTCCTATAGCTGTTTGTCTCTGCTGCTCCTATAGCTGTCTGTTTCTTCTGCTCCTATAGCTGTCTGTCTCTGCTGCTCCTATAGCTGTCTGTCTCTGCTGCTCCTATAGCTGTCTGTTTCTGCTGCTCCTATAGCTGTTTGTCTCTGCTGCTCCTATAGCTGTTTGTCTCTGCTGCTCCTATAGCTGTTTGTCTCTGTTGCTCCTATAGCTGTCTGTCTCTGCTGCTCCTATAGCTGTCTGTTTCTGCTGCTCCTATAGCTGTCTGTTTCTGCTGCTCCTATAGCTGTCTGTTTCTGTTGCTCCTATAGCTGTTTGTCTCTGCTGCTCCTATAGCTGTCTGTTTCTGCTGCTCCTTTTGCTGTTTTTACCCCCTTGGAGACCACTGTGTCTCCTCTGTGTTTACGTATTCAGTTTGTTTGCTTTCAAATGGCTTGCAGACTGTTCACACCCACAACACAATACAAGCCTCCAAAACACTTCTATTAACGATTTGATCTAGTTGATTGCGACTAGGCTCGATCGATTGGAAGTCATTTATTTCTTTTTTGCGCGCTTGGGGGTGGGGGGGGTAGTTCTTTTTGTTTTTGTTTTGTTTTTAATTGCTGGGTCATTTTGGTTTCTCTTATAGGACGTGGAGAAAGATAGATTTGAGCAGCAAGGCGGGAAGGGATGGGCCATGGAGGAAGTTCTGTTGTATGTTGGGAAGGGAGGAGGAGGAAGAGCGGGTACATTGATCGTTAATGGTTTGTGCCCCGCACCCATCCACACTTCTCCTTCTTGTGTGATTCCTGGCAGCGGCTTCAGAGAGCTAGTCAAGTCAAAGACTGAACGAGAGAAGATAGTTCACTCCTCCATTTCAGACAATTCGGAAAACCAGTTTTGGGGAGCGTTTGTTTTGTCTCCCTCCCCTCTTTCTTTCTCTCCTTCCCTTCCTTTCATATACTGTTCTGTCAGTCAGCATGGGAAGAAAAATTCTTCTTACAGCTGTATTCATCCAAGTGGCTTTTATTAAAGCTCGTGTTTCTTCTTGTTGCACTCTTGTGAACACCTCTAATCTTCAGCACCCTTCTTTTAATTTAATTGTGTTGCAAAGGCCGTAGATTAAATTAAAAAAACCAAACTCGTAGTTTAACTAAAGGACATACTTTTTAGTAGATTAGTAGATTTTCTTGAAGGATAGTTAACTCTTTATTTGCCGCGCACTTCTGCAAGCAAGGTCAAGGCAGTAGATGTGTGGCTGAAAAAAGTCCCTCTTAGACTCTTAGAGCCCCCACCATCCCCGAGTCGCAGAAAAAGAGAACAATTGACGTTCGCAAATGACGTCACAGTGACCTAATCGTTTCCCCGGGGGACGTAGAAACCCTGAGTGTGAATAGTATGGTGTGTCTAGCAAGTTCTAAATAGAGAGCAATTTAATATTGTACATGAGTATTACAATCCTTCTCTCCCCCCCC